AAGAAGAAACACTCACCTACGGACCCAAACCACCGACCAAATCTAAACGCCTCTTTTCGACTAAGCCAACCGTAGGTTACATGAAGTTTTGGATTGTGGAGCGACTCACTCTCCGTATCGCCCGATTTCACTACTAATACAACTTTTTTTTAACCAAAATACAGTTCAACTAACTAAACACAATATTTACAGTATTATGTTCAAAACTAATAAGTCTATTATATACCGATACTAGTTATGAAACATGAATCACATTTTATGAAGGTTATTGCATGTTAATCAAAGATATTTAATGCCACAAATTCATTTGTATTCGTAGAGAAATTTAAATTACTTCAATAAATTGGCAAAATAGATATAATGTTTACATGCAAGACGCTAAGAGAATAAATGAAATACTGATTAAAAAAGTAATATATTTAACTGTCAAAAGAAATTTTATATTTAATGTTAAAAACTTACAATTGATAAATTCGGACCCTTGATTATAATAGTTTTCCAATTTTGGATTCATATATGTAGTTATTTTCATTTTTTATCCATATATATAATTTTTTATTTTATTTTTTCGGACTCTTATGTGTAAAATTTTCTATATGGCATAGCAAACTATTTTAGTTTACTTCATTCCGACCCATTGATTAAAGCAGTTGAGAACAACACCCTGAATGCCGTCTAGAAAAAATCTACCATCAGGCTTTCATTATAATTTGTTACAAGTCATTACAAATATAATCGAAAATCTAATAAAGTTCACTAGAATGCACTCAGAACGTGAAATTAGCATCACCACCAAGGCAAATTACTCACGGAGTTTCAACGATATATATGACGATTCATGTAATACCTGAGTATTAATACGTATTTTTTCCGTATTTAAATATCAAGCTTTTATTGTTTTGCTAACATCAAAAACCAACCGATTTATTTGAAGATAACACTTAAACGGTTAAAGAAGGCATAGATTCAGGCGCGATAATTTTAAAAAAGAACGGGAAATCATACTACATATTATTATCAAAAAACCAAAAAAAATGTCAATAGATAAGCAGCGCATATTTCTTCGTTCATATTTTTTAATAAGCAGTTGTTTTTTGATTAATTCTCTTGAGAAAATGGATGTTTATTTCTTTGAAGGATTATTTATTTATTATAAAATTTTATATCTATTAATTAAAAATTCTAATAATGAGAGACTTGAAGAACAAGAACCAATGATCTTCACATAACGTGAAATAATAAGTACCCTAGCATTGCGGGCTATCATTCTGATTGGCTAATTTACAAAATCTGATTAGCTAAATTTAAACTACAAATTTGCACTTATTGATCTTTATAATCATAGTCAAATGCGTATGAGTTAAGCTTAATAAAAAAAAATCTTCAACCTTAAATTAAAGATACTTGACTAGAGATGTGCCATGTATAGGACTGGTAACATTTATTAGGGTGTATCATTAGTAAATTTCACCTTGCGTGATTTCGATAATGGCATGTTGTGTAAATACTATTCAAAGAAACAAAATGCAACTTAACAATATGTTGGTTCATAATATCAATCATGGGAGTCCTGTTACAACAATGGAGTATCATCACTATTTAATAGTGAGTAGAAAAATTTAATGATGCCTTCACGATTTCAATGATGAGTAATCATTTTTTGTATATTTTGACACGTTATTTAACATCTATATTTGCCTGTTTGCTTTGTAAAATTCTGATAATTTTACTTGCGGGTCTGTTCTTGGTGATTCGAAACTGATCTAGTTAATAATAAATTTATTATATGGTTCATGACTCATATAATAAATTACCATAACAAAGTCAGTTTCATGTCATTCAGATCAAACCCATTAGGAGTACTAGCTAGATTTAATATCATTGCATATATAATCGTCCGACTGACCGGCGGTCATGAACGATAATAATTGATCGACGAACGGCCCTAATAGATCATTAAAGATATAATTAAAAAGAATCTATATAGTTGTTTGTATATCTTCGTTTATATCTTCGTTTAAAAGGTAATAATAATAATAATTAGAATATAAATGACACTATGCTATAGACAATTATTTTATTTCTCTTTTAGAGCATTTCAAACACCTAACATATTTTTATGAATAAATTTTGTTTTTTAAAAAAAATATTATTGCATTCGTTACTATAAGTTATTTCGCAAAAATAGAAACATTTGATTTTTAACTATATAAGAAATATTTAAAAACATTCGATTTTTAACTATAAAAAAAAAAGATTTAAAAATATTAATCATTGTTGATTTTTAAGCTGGTTCTTTATCTATACCATTATTTTCTTTAGATCCTGCAGAATAAGCAGCAACAACCAAAGCAAAATGAACCTATTAAATGTAAATAAAAAATAATTAATTATTTTTAAAATCGATTGAGAAAAAAAAATTTTTGATTAAATTAATCAAATATAAATTATATAAAAAAACATACAGCAATAATAATATCCACTAGATCTGCAGCTACCCATGCTAAAACATCATGGTTGAAAAAGAGTATAATAGCAATTATTGCACATATATCAAATAAAACTGCAATAGATACGATTATACTGAAAAGTATAGAGTAGATTTTTAGAAGATTAACCCTTTTCTTATATAATATAAAAAAATTTAGTTAAACCTTATATATAGTAAAGACAAAAATATAGGAATATACGTCAATTCACTGATTTCGCATTGTTTAATCGACAATCGGACCATATTTTTAACCAGTTTAGTTCACCAAAAGAACAATTCATTTCACCGAAAATTCAATCCGTAGAGGGAATTTAAGTTATAAAATAAACTTTTGATGTTGACTAATGCTTGCTTGGAGAAACAGAATTAATCATAATTGATAGATGATCATAATATATCGATACTTTTAAACTCATTGTCGATGAAGTAATGCGTTTGATGAAGTGAATTGTTATCAAAAATATAGTAAAACACATACTGGATTAAAAATAGTAACAAAGCCAAAAATGGTTACTAGCAAAACTAAGATAGCATAAGCTAAATACACGTAAATTACGTATATTCCATTATGATAATCTAAAGAAGTAAATTGGTAAAAATTAGTATATAGATAGAAAACATATTTAAATAAGGAAATAAAGCTTGCATTCGCTTTCGTCTTTGATAATTGTTATATAATTTGTAATTCCAAATATTGATTGAATCTAAGATTAAAAATTAACAAAAAAAAACAAAGACGTTAATTAGAACAAATAAGAAATTTAATTAAAATATCTGATCGTATTAAGAAGTAACTTACTAGCCAGAAAATTGTTATCATAATAACACCTGCTTTTAATGGAATACAAAAGCAACATTTTGTAGGTTTAAGAATTGATTCCATTTTTGATTATTTAATTGAATAAATTTTAGAGAGTTGATTGATATCTTCATAAACCAATTTCATTATAAATTAAGGTTAGTCCATTTATAAAATCAACAATAAAATATTCTCAAGTTTAATCATTACTCGTAAATTATAATACTTTCTAGCAAACAAAGAAATTGCAAGATACATTCAAATGTCAGTTTAATCAGAAATCAGAAAAATTTCAATAATGGACATATAGAACTTTCAGTTTATCTAGCAGCTGTATAAACAGAGATACGTAAGGTACAGATATAGAAATTTATCTTTCTTTCAGAACAATCATATAAGCCATCATCATTATGTTAAGGTGTTAAAATATTATGAATTTTTTTGTAGTTTTATAAAGTTATATAAGGCTATGCACAGCACAAATTGTTCGAGGCTTACGTGAAAAAATGAAGCCTCTAGCATAAAATAAACATACACTTTCTATGAATCTAAATATATAAAAATTTATAGGTTGTTGAATGAAATCTAGTATATGTTATTGACAAAACGCAAAACTTAAATTTCAAATGATGAAATAATGAAATATGAAATATAATCTTTAGGCAGTAGTTTTACCAAAAAAAAAAATAAAACAAGGAATTTAGAAAAGACGAAGCCTCTAATGAAGGTTGAAAAACAAAACTCCAAGCCTCTCTTAACAAACATTACGTATAGACTCGGCCCCAAATATGAGGATTAAAAGACCAGACACTCCTTAAATACGTCAAATATTCTGAGAACTGGAAAAACAGTGACTCTGTTGCTAAATTTCGATTGAATTTTGTAGGAACATGCGGATTTTGCGATTTATGGCTTTTCAAAGTTTATATATTCCTTAAGATCGCGACAAACAAAGGCCCTGGTCAGGGACCTTCGGATTCTGTGTTTTTAAAAAAGTGATAAGTTTAGATATTCCTTAAGATCGCAAATCACAGAATTTACAGGTCCACGGCCCTTGGAAAATTGGATTTTATCTTGGGTACATAATTCTTTTGGGTTTATATTTTTTGTTTTTAATTTAACATTAGCGATTTTCAAATACTGAACTGCGACTTGAGTTTCATCACTTAAAAATTTAGAATTCGCGAAATATATCAGAAAACCGACAAATTGTGAATTTATTTTTTTTTCAGTTTGATTATAGAATAAATTAACGACATCAAGCAAAACAGTAGTTCATAATTTTTAGATATACCATTTTAAAGATATGGGACTGATAGCCACCAAGGTAATTTACGTACGAATATTCGTTAGCCGGAAAAAATTAAAATTTACAGGCTTTGTTAACTGCCTAACATTATTATATTTTATACTATCCGGTAATTTATATTGTCAATTGTGAATTGCGAAACAACTCAACACATATTCAAGGTATACGAAGTTTCGTTTCAAGTCAATTATCAAATTCTAAGTTTTAAAAAATCTTGGTTAAAAACAATGTAAGTAAATTCTTTTAAGAAACACCAAATTTAATGTTTAATTAGCTACAAAAGTGGTAAAAAATAACTTTACAATATAATATTGATACATAAATAATTTATTAAACAGTTACATTATTTAGAATTATTTTTTCCGGTATCAGTTTGTAGAGGGACAATTCTCTCATTATTTTTACATTGAGTAGCATAAGCACTAACAACAAAAGCAAAATAAATCTATAATTGATAAAGCGTAAAGAATTAATTATTCGATATTATAAATTTTGATCACAAATTTCACGAATTTCACACATTTACATTTAAACATACCGATACAATAGCACCCAATACATAGCCAATGATCCATGGAGCCGAAAATTTTCTAAATTCAGCATCACAAGCATTTGATCCAGTAATATCATCAGTGGAATTTATTGTTTTGAGACAAGTTTCCATGTACGAGTCTTGATGTGTAGAAATAAAAATGAATATATATATAACATGAGCAATTTGAACAATTACAAGAATGGCAAAGAGTACAGCATAGACCCTTATAAATTTCGCAGATTTCTTATTAAAGAAAAAAATGTTAATTAATTTTCTAAGATTGGAACTTCAATAGACACGTAGTACTGTACATACCGAACAGCAAGTAACCAAAAGCCCAAAAGTAGTTATCAAAAATGCTATGGCATTAGTAGCAAAGCCCACGAGAAAGAATATATTATCATAGACTAGAAAAGTAACAAGATTAATATTTGATGGAAATAAAAAGAATAAATAAAATATAATTTACATTGGCTCTGTTTTTTTAAAGTTATTGCATCTGCAAGAACGCCAGCTATTGATCCAAGCTAGAAAAATAACAAAATATATCAATTATTACAAAGAAATAATTATGAACGTATATATATATATCTAAGGTAACTTGCCAGCCATAAAATTGTAATAATAATGACACCCGCTCTCAAGGGGATGCAACAACAACATTTGGTAGTTTTCATCTTATAAAATTAAGATTGCCCCAAATTAAAGTTGGTCTATTTCTCTAAAGACAATAATGTTGCGAATTATATACCAGACAATAATGATAAAGGGATGAGTCGTACGAGTATAAAAGTTCATTCTACTATTAGAAATGTCATTGAGTAATTATTAAATCAATGTTGATGATGTAAATTCTTGTATAAAGTCATGATTAAAAGAAGTAACTAATTTATTCCTTGTAGTAAGCTCGTTAGTATGAGTCGTGTGCATGTTATGTAACATGAGGCTGGTGTAAGAGGAAATGTATCTTAAAAAATATTGTGTACATCTTTTAATAGACGAAGTCCCAATTTCATGAATAGAACAGTAATATCTATCCAATGGTTTCCAATCCCAAACTACCATTTGATAATTGTTCTAAGGTATACACTACTAGGTCCGAGAGAAATTTAATAATATGATCCGAAATTGCATTTATAGCTAAACTTTCTCTAGACTGATAATGAAAATACAGAAGTTACGGTATGTAACATTGAACAACTTTATTTTTAAATCCATTTGTTCTCTGTAAAAAGGGAACGTTAATACGTAGAGATGGTAAAAATAAGCGTAATTCGTGGCTAGATAGGATCTATTTATCATAATGTATAACGATAATATAGATAAACTATATATTGTCAAAATATCAGGATTTATTATAAATCGCCTGATTGTCGTTGGGTTTTGCTATATTTAGTCACCTGTGTCACTTTATGACCAGCTTATGATTCTGAATCCTGAAAATTTAAGCCATAGCACCGTTTAATTCTGTAATTGCTAACGTTAATGCTATATCGAAATTGTTACTCTTATTTAATAAAAATAGCTCAACATTAATTATACAAGTTAGGATGTGCGCGTATTATAACTGGCCATAACTTGTTAAAGAAGTGAAAATAGAAACTTGCGAATATATTGTTGAATGTAACCTTGTGACGCGATGTACATGTAACCAGTACGTACGTATTCACGCACGCACAAGATTTTTTACTATTATACGTTGCCTTGAGACAAGGGCACCACCATCTTCGGATGGATCACTTTGAGGTGATATATTTCTTTGTAATCGGTTATAGAATTCTGAATTTGTGAAATAATTAAAAGTATCGTTCTTGGTTATTAATATTTTCAACCGTTTTGTTGTAGTGAAATTCTCAGCAAAGGGAATTTAGAGAAAAAAAAGGGTGTTATAGGAAATTACTAATTTCTTACACTTTTTATACAAACCTATTGTGAAATTTCAAAAGTTTGAGTTCATTATCTGTATTAGATTTTAGCTACAGAATTAATCATAGCTATCGCTATAACATTAATTAATTAGTTACAACAAAATACACTGATATTTGTCGTACCGCATTTTTGTGAAATAACGCACATATATTACTTCAAATAGTGACCTGAATTAAAAAATATAATTTAAGCAAAAATTTGAGGACACTTCTTTGTGTTATTTCGAGAAGATACGGTAACTGTAAAATTCATTGGAACGATTCACCCCTTATATATCTGATATGTTGTAAGTATGAACGGAGTTTAAGTGGATTGGGAATTTTCTAATTGAATTAGGGTTAGGGTAAAAAATCAACCCCAAAATACTGCTTTCATATAAAGTTTCTGAATCCACTTAAATTCCGTTTCCATTTACAACATTCTCATCAATTGTCGATTTATCAATATGTGTCATTCTTCAAAGTTTCACAGATTAAAAATAACTTGGTCGATTTTTAATTTGTTAAAAAAAATCCGGTAAAAATCTTTATTCAAACTCTTTTTGATCCTTATTTTTAGTAGGAAAATTTTTTTTCTTAGTTCTTTATATACTAAATGGGAAGCCCATTAATTTTTATGACATATCTGCCGATTTGCAGAATACTTAGATTATATTTCTTATCTATAAAATCTAAGGTTTGGTTGGGTCTTATCTATTAAATATAAAGGATCACATAATATAAACGTTTATATTATTCCGTATAAATTATTTTTAAATCGTGTAACGATAATCATGACAGGTTTATTGATGTTAGCGTTAGGGTCAGGGTCAGTGTTATATTGGGTTATATTTTTAGAACTTTATAATAAAATCTCCCAAGGAAAACTTTGTTTAAGCAATAAAGGTGTGTTTTATATAGATTTTGAAAAATCAGCAAAGCGAACGTCCGTTTAATTTTCTAATTTTGAAATTTGATTTGTAGTTTCAGAGAATCTGCACTACCAACCTGGCACACATTTTAGATATACTCTATGTCTCTTGAAAATATCCAGGTACAACTCATGTGTTCACAATGATGATTTAGAAAATTCTTATTGAACTACGTAAATTACCGTCCTATTATAGTATTCTCCTGTAATTAGTACTCAGGTGGTACTATTCAAATTACTACCACCTTATCTTTGTATAATCGAACGAATAACAATAATAATTATATTTTTCCTACGCAAAAAGTTGTGTGGCTTAGAAAATTTTCTCGTACGCACATACGTAACAATTACCTTATTTAATATGCCCAAAATTGTGTATGGTATTACCAAATTTGGAGATGTCTAAGGCTAACCTTGGATTATAGTAACCGATTTTTCTTTTTTTCCCGTTTTTATTTTCAAATTTGATTGGTTGATTGTCACATGATTTATCATATACTCCTGGATTATATGTAAATCATATATGCGTAGTGTAATTTCTCGAAATACCCTATTTCGAATTTTGGCCCGAATCTCATTCCTGTTATTTCGAGAATTTACATATAGAAGAATAATGCTTTATACGGTAGTGTAACTAGAGATGGGACACTGCGCAGGCATTTTTTGAGGCTGCGCAGTGCAATTTTCATAATTCTGGCCAGCTTTATGATCCAGGTTTGAATTACCATTCGGAAATCGGTTCGGATCGGCCCGAAAGAAAACGGATCTGCATCACCTGATTAATAGAATCCATCGTTCATAATTCTGGTCAAACTTGCAGATCATTTGATCACATTTAAAGTTGTTCTATTCTACATCTTGCCAAATGATCTGCAAATTTGACCAGAATCATTAGTTCACCGATATGCAGAGAAAAAGTGAAAAAAACGCAAAACAACAAAAACTGACGTTTAATGTAACCTTGGAGCACTAATTAAAAATGATGGTAGCCAACTTTACACATAAGAAGTAGATGTTTTATATATATAAACGCGAAACATAATGAGTAAAAGTCTCTAGGGACTGAGGCTGCGCAGTAGATTCAAAAAAAAACCTTGATTTTCTCATCTCTAAGTGTAACTAATTTATTTTTGCAAAAAATGCCATAATCACCTTTAGTTGGCCGACCCAAACCTGCATCCATAGAAAAAATATAAATTTTCACTGATTATAAATTTGTACTTTCAAAGCGACATAAATTGAAAAATGACAGAACAATCATACCTTCTACAGTCAAACTAATAGCTACGTCAAATTAAAATACACTCACCCTAACATAAGTTTTCACTACAGTATAACCTTGATATAACGAAGTTCTGGAGCTGGAGGTTTTGCTTCGTTATATCAAACTTATTGGTAGTTTCGTTATATCAGGGCTAATTAAAACACAAAAATTAGAAATAATCTTCGTTATCGTTATATCGAGGTTATACTGTATATGTTATACGTCATTTCTCAATTTACGTCGATTAATTTTTAATGCTAATGTAAAATTTTTTTTCTTTCTATTAATGAATCCACAAAGTTATTCTTTTCTGACCCGTGAGACCTTTAATCGAATATTAAAACCATACACAAATCAAACCCCCCCCCGAAGCTTGATGGATAGAGAACGCTACAATGAATGTCTTAATATATTAAAAAACCTCGTCAAGCAAAATATTGCACCCAAATCGTACAATTCATACTATGCAAGAAGGCTCAACTCAAGAATATCCAAGAACGCTTAACTGAAGAATGCTTAACTCATACATTTCCGAAGTAAGTAAATAAAAAATTTTACTGATATAATTTGAATTGAAGTAACGGTGCAAATAATAATGGTTCAAGTAAATTGCATCAGGGTGTAGTCAGAACTATTTATCTAATTAGCACTAGAAATAGGCTGCTTATATTAGATTTAGGTGTATTCTTATATGTAAAATTGCATCCTGCCATTTTTTGTTAGTGCACCATGATATATTTAAACGACAATTTTCCATATTTTTTAGTTATCCAATTTTACATTTAAAAAAACTTGCAAATTCCTGCAGTTAACGGAAAACGAATTGTACTACTAAATCTTGCTCTTATAGAAAGAAACTTTCATTATACTCAAGTTTCATTAGTAAATTTTAATATCTTGCATAAATTTGAATATTTTCGGTTAAATGTAATACGTAAAATAAATATTTCTGCCATTTTATTTTAATTTGCAATTTTATACCGATTAAAAAATGACATGCGTCAATTAATAATTGACATAATTTAAA